CTGATTCTAAAGTTTATATGGAGAGGCAAAAGATCCAGAAATGCCAAGAGAATATTGAAAGAGAAGAACAAAGTCAGAGGACTGACACTATCCAACTTCAAGACTTAAAGCTACAGTAATAAAGACAGTGTGGCACTGGTGACAGAACAAATAGACCAACGGAACAGAACAGAGAGCCCAGAAATGTCCCACATCAACATAGTCAACTGATCTTTGACAAAGGTAATACAGTGGAGCAAAGATAATCTTTTCAATCAATGATGCTGAAACAACTAGACAGCCACACACAAAAAAGGGAATCTAGACACAGATTTTACACCTTTCACAAATATTAATTCAAAGTACATCACAGACCTAAATGTAAAATTCAAAACTATCAAACTCCTAGAAGATAACATAGAAGAAAACCACATTGATCTTGGGTATGGCAATGACTTTTCAGATACAACACAAGAGGCACAATCCAGGAAGGAAATAATTGATAAACTGGATTCCTTAAAACTAAAACCTTCTGCTCTGTGAAAGACAATGTCAAGAGAATGAGAAGACAAGCCACACACTAGGAGAAAATACTGGCAAAGGACACATCTGATAAAGAATTGGTGGGGCTGGCCCTGTGGTCTAGTGGTTAAGCAGTGCACTCTGCTTTGGCGGCCCAAGTTCACAGGTTTGGGTCCCAGGTGCAGACCTACACCACTCATCAGCCATGATGTGGCAGCGACCCACATACAAAATAGAGGAACTGGCACAGATGTTAGCTCAGGGCTAATCTTCCTCAAGTGGAAAAAAAAAAGGAAGAGTGGCAAGGGATGTCAGCCCAGGGCGAATCTTTCTTGGCAAAAATAAAATAAAATAAAATAAAATTGTTATCCAAAATATACTACAAAGGACACTTAAAAACAATAAGAAACTAACAACTTGATTAAAAAATAGGCCAAAGATCTTCACAGACAACTCACCAAAGAAGATATGCAAATGACAAAAAAGCATGTGAAAAGCTGTTCCACATTGTATGTCATTAGAGAAATGCAAATTTAAAAAATAATGAGATACCACTACACACCTATTAGAATGGCCAAAATCCAGAACACTGACACCACCAAATGTTGACAAGGAGCAACAGGAATTCTCATTCATGGCTTGTGGGAACACAAAATGGTATAGTCATTTTGCAAGACAGTTTGGTGACTTCTTACCAAACTAAACATACTCTTACCATACTCTATATCCAGCAATCACATTCCTTGGTATAAACCCAAAGGAACTGAAAACTTACATCCACACAAAACCCTGCACATGGATGTTCACTGCACCTTTATTTATAACTGCGAAAACTTGGAAGCAACCAACATGTTCTTCAGTAGGTGAACGGATAAATGAATCGTAGGATAGCTAGTATATTACTCAGCCCTAAAAAGAAATGAGCTATCAAGCCATGAAGAGACACAGAGGAAATTTCAATGCATATTACTAAGTGAAAAGATCAATGTGAAAAGGCTACAGATTGCATGATTTTAACTGTATGACATTCTGGGAAAGACAAAATTACAGAGACAGTAACCAGCTCAGTGGCTGCCAGGGGTTTTGGGGAGGGAGGGAGGATTAGGCAGAGCACAGAGGATTCTTAGGGCAGTGACACTGTTCTGTATGACACTATAATGGTGAACACATGTCATTACGTATTTGCCAAAACCCACAGAACATACAGTACCAAGAGAGAACCCTAACGTACACTATGGACTTTGGGTGATAACGATATTTCAGTGTGGGTTCATCAACTGAAACAAACGTCCTACTCTGGTGGGGGATGTTGATAACCGAGAAGGCCATGCATGTGTGGGAACAGGGAGTAAATGGGAAACCTCTGCACCTTCAGCTCAATTTTGCTGTGAACCTAAAAAAAATAGTCTAGCAAAAAATTCAGAAGACAAAAAAGAGCTCTCCATAGCAGACGCAAATGTCCAAGAGTGGGGAAGTGGAGTACAAGCGTTTCCCAAACGTACGTGACCAAAGTTCCTAAACATACGTGAAATTCTTCTTGCGAAGCATTTTGCAGGACTGGTTTTCCACCAAACACCCTTTGGAAAATGCTATTAGAGTAATAAATAATGATACTTTAAAAGTAATACATCAGAAACAAAAAACTCAATACAAAGGTTGGAAGATATAGTCGAGGAAAGCTTGAGGAAAGTTGAGCAAAAAGACAGAGAATAGGGATAAGAATAAAGATGGTCAAGAATATTAGACGACGAGTTCAAGAGGTTCGACATCTGAATAAGATGCATGCCAGAAAGAGTGAAAAGAGAAAAAGAAGTGGAGGGAAATCACTGATGAAAGAATTTAAGAAAATTTCAAGAAACTGAAGAATGGGGTGGACACACTAAGTGAAGTGTCCAGCGTGGGAGGTAAAACACTCACACCCCACGTGAAATTTCAGAAGACTGAGGATGAAGAGAAGCTTCAAAGAGAATAAACAGGTTTCATACAAAACTAAAGACGTAAATTTAAGAAAGATTTACATGGGAAAACAAAGACATGGTTAGGAGCAAACTGGAGATAACCCGAGAGAGGTGAAGAGGATGCCAAGGAACTCAGAAGGCTCTAGGAGAGATCTCTCAGGGTTTGACATGGATAGAACATACAATGTGCTTGAACATTATAAAAGAGACGTATACAGTAGTAAGAGAGTTTAAGGTTGAATCAGTAATAAGCACATAGCAAAACAAAAACATAACAAAGCAATCAAGATTTACTCTGAAAACAAAATGTGCAACAAAGGAAAAGTAATCACAGTACATTACACGGCCCAATTGAGAACAGCATTTAACAAGCTGTAACAATCTAATCAAAATTACAGTATCATGGTATTAAGACAGGGAAGTATGTGAGGGTGGGTAAGGGGCAAGGAGATTAAAAAGAGTTAGATCCTCATCTTCTAAAGTGGGTTGTCAGCTGAAAAATGCTTAAAGCTAAAAAAAAATAGCCATATAAACATGCCATTTACATATATGGAAGTAAATAAAAGAACCAGCTGAATTAAAAATGATTGCCTTTGGTGAGAAGGAAATGACAGGGGGATGGTGGGTCTGTTCATTTTGTTTCTGTAATAATTCTCATGGACCTATTCTTCCTTTAAACTATGAGCATGCATATAACTCTGATAAATATAAAAACTCTCAAAAGTGTTGTGTAGCTAAAAAATTAAAGCTACGTGATGAAGGATATAGTGGGGCACACAGCTTTCAATCTATGATAGCTTCCATTGTTAACATTTGAAGGGACTATAAAGGTAACCTGGACTAATCCCATCGTTGTATAGGTGTGGAAACAGGCTCAGAAGGGAAGTGATGTCAAGGTCACACAGGATGAGCCAAGGCCCAATCAGGGGATGGTGACACAGTGACAGTCAAGACTGCCACAGCCTGGCCAAGAGCAGGAAACAAGGATACAAAGCAAGTGTCCACTTTTCCTAGGCCATGAGATCCAGGCCAAGGGAGGGATGCCAGATCACTGGTTGCCAGAGTGATGGTCCACATCCTTCACATGGAACAGCGAGGCGCAGTCACAAAGCTCCCGCTGCTCTGGGTCTTCCAGGTGTTACTGAAAAGGCACCTAGAGACCTAAGTGGCATCTAGGATGATGTGGAGCAAGCAAAGCAGGTTTACAGGCATCTAGGGGGAATGTCATAAGGCTGGAAAAAGTAACCAATGTTTTCACCAAGGTGTTCATCTCTCCTTACGTCCTCATCTTTGGAGCTTAGGGGCACAGGCCACTGGTCAGCAAACCAGTAATCGGCTGGGGCTAGATGCAGATGATACATTTGGAGAAATCACGTGATAGGACCTTGACTAGAGCTGGACATAAATGCCACAGGCAGGCCCTGTAATCTTCCAAAGCTTATTCAGCCCTTTCCTTCAACCTCTAACATTCCAGGATTTGGGTGGAGATACACTCAACTCCTTCTAAGAAAAAGACTACCTCAACTTTCACGGGGATCACTCCAATTGCTCAGACTTCCCTAAAGAAGATGGAGTATTGGGGCTGGCCTGGTGGTGGAGGGGTTAAGTTCATGCGCTCTGCTTCAGGGGCCCGAGGTCTGCAGGTTCAGATCCCTGTGGGGACCTACACATCATCAAGCCATGCTGTGGTGGTGTCCCACACGTAGAAAGTAGAAGATTGACACAGATGTTAGCCCAGGGACAGTCTTGCTCAAGCAAAAAGAGGAAGACTGGCAACAGATGTTAGCTCAGGGCCAATCCTCCTCACATACACACACACAAAAGATGGAGTATCTGTGGAGTAACAAGAGTGAGGTTTCACACATACATCTTAATTTACACATAAAAAATGAGTATTGTTCTTTACAGTTACCCTATTGGGAGGCTGTATATCTATCCTAAAGGGGTAGCCCTTTTAGAGTTACCTCATAGATAGTTTATGAAAATAGGAACAGATAGGCATAACCCAGGTTAATTACCACACAAACTTTAGCCATCAGATTTTGCTTTTGAATCAAACATTCATTGCTTGGTCTCGAAAATTAAGTTTACTCTCACAGTACCAAGGTTTGCCACCATTGGTGATGTTCAAAAAAAAAAATCAGGGCAGCTTCATACATATTTGAGTGGTGGCAGGATTATTGTAATGCTGAAAGGGTTCTGGAAGGTATCACCAAGAACGGAGCACCCCAAACTGGAAAGGATGAGTATTATTACACACTGGGCCAGGGAGCTCCCGGTGCTGGTCTCAGCTCCACCCTCTCCCATGCCCCAGCTCCCCTACTCTGAGTTTACAGAACATCTCCCCTAGTTCCTTTGATTGTTTTGGCAGGATGAAGGTGTCTCTGTAACTATTCCAAATGCCAAAGATAAAAATGTTCTTTTAAGGATTCTATGTAGACTTACAAATGGACAGGGGGCTAACTATTGGTATGAGACAAGATAAAGTACAGACACTGGGGCCTGGGGCTTGTTGCAGCCAGCACCATGATCTGCTCTTACCTGTGGGGGCCTGCATGGCTGAGCTGGGGATGGTGGCAGCATCTTGGGGTACAGTGCTGGTATCCGGTTCAGGGGTGCTGGTTGTTGGTGAGGTGGGTGGTGGGTTCATCAAAGTCCGAGGTTTCCTCTGTCAAAATGGATGGGGAGAAGTTTGCTACCTACGACAGGTAACTTGCCTTCTCATTCCCCTATTGCTAGCATTTAATTCACCCATGAAACTGAAATATATTTGTGGATGGCACTGTGTTTTATCTTTGTTTTCCACACAGCATCTTGCCCAAAGCTGTACATACAGCAGGTGCTTAGTAAATATTTTCTGAATCTATGCACAAGATTCTGGGCTTTCGTAGAGCCAGAGCTTAATTCACTATCTTTTATATTAGATTCAATATTATCATTTGAAGTTCCAGGTTCTTTATTAGTTGGCAGACAAAGGCAAAAAAGGAAAAAAAAATGTGGCTTAAATCTACTTTGACATTACTTGGTACTTTATTTCTCTCTCTTGAATAACAGAAATGTCCCTTCCCCTAACTCTATACTTTCCTCTGCTTACCTCTTTAGCTCATTACCTGCCATTTCTTATGTAAACCTTATCCTCTAGTAATCTCTAACTATATTACTTCTCTAAGAACCCTGCAGTTTTACCTGGTCCATGCCTTCACAATAATAAACCGTCCCTTCTTTTTTGACTTTACAAATATCTGCTCATCCACGAAGTTTTTCTAGATTTTTCTCTAGTTACTGTCTCTTTTGTGCCATCTCTGTACTTTGCATTGTTGCGTTTGTCACAATGTATTATAGATTTACATACTGGTGTTCTTGAGGGCCTGATTCTGAGTACGATTCCTAGCATGGTACTTGGCGTATAATGTGTCAATAAATGTTTTTAATGAAGCGTACAGTATAGAATATCAATAATGGGGGAAGTAATAAAAATAATTTGAGAGAAATCTAACTCTCTCTTCTATGTTGTTCAGGGCAGTCTCTAGGGGAGAAAGATCTTAGAAGGTTCTTTCCAAGAAATAGTTTTCTAAAAACTTCCTGAATGCAAGGAAAACATAACCATCACTGAGATCCAGAAATCCCTTTTTACTAAATGTCCCATGCAGAGTCCACTGTTGGGAGCTGTATAAAACTGTCTGCCTTCTAGGAGTGTATTATCTAAAGAGATAGCACCAGTGACAGCAGGCATATATAAGATGGCCTTGCCTGTGAAAGTAATCACGCAAACACTTATGAAACATTCAAAGCACATATGGGACATGGACATCTCCTCATATTTTTTGATATTGCTAAAAATAAAAATCCAAATAAGCAACGAGTCAGGGAAGAAAGGAAATACCAGTTAAAATTCACTGAGCTGGTGGTAGGACTTCATGCTGTCCTTGAAGGAACAAGCCTGGTGAATAAGGTGCCCAAATATTGCAGAAGAAAGCAGACAGATGGAAGGCATTATTACTATTTGAGACATGTGCACTTACATGTATTACATCTATTCATATAGCACCCATTCCATTTTATTGGTGAGAAATCTAGGGCTCAGAGCCCTACTCAAAGAAGCTTTTCCAAAGTCACACAGGTGGTAACAAATGAAGACGACAAATAAACCCAAGTTTGCCTGCCTTCAAAGCCTATTCTCCAGCCACAAGACGACTCTGTTTCATAAAGGAACACAACGGCCATGGGTTAAGTGGAAGGCATGTACATTTATAGGAGGAGCAAAAGGACAGGAGGGGAATTAGGGAGTCAAATCCCAAGCCATAAAATACAGGATAAGATGAGAATTGTGGTTTTCAAGAGGGGTGGAAAGAAAGAGGACTCTGCTTACTAGGTTTGGGACTGCCTGAGGAAGCAGAGCAGAGACTATCAGAGAACCACAGTTCTTAGGATTTGAAGGATCTTAAAGGCCATTTAATCCAACCATCCATCCAATACTTCCACTTCCCTCTCCCTGAAAACATCCCTCCCACATAGTCATCCAGTCCCTGATGAAATACCTCTAGTCACGGGAGGTCACTACCTCCATTTGGGGATAGATCTAACTGTTCGTTTTATGTCAAGACAAAGCCTGTCGGCTTGAGTTTCTGCCTTTTGGTTCTGGTTCTGTCTTTGGAACCTCAGAGACAAGTTTTCTCCCTCTTTAATCTGACTCTTCTCAAGGCGACTTCCCCTCATCAACAGCAGGGCTTCTCTGGCCTTGGAATCTTCAGGGCCTTCAGCCTCTCCTCCACAACATGAGGATGAGACGAGAGCAATGCAGACAACAATGAAGCAGGACCTGGGTTAGGGGTTAGTGGGAACAGATTAGGAGCATTACGTGTTACACAGAAAGACCAGGATGTGCCACTGAGAATTCAAAGCCAGTAAATAAGAGACAGTCTCAATTGGAATACCATCACTAAAATCATCCATCCAACCATTCTGCATATACTAAACATCTCCCTAGAGAGTGAGACATAAGGCACTGCAGGAGAAAAAGAGAAGAAAAAGATTAGGTTCTCGAGCTTGAGCTTTTATATTCCAGAAGGACTGAAGTCAGCTGGAGCTAATAAACAAAAGAAAACCAACCAACCAAGAAAACTCATGAGATTGGAATGGAACGCCCAGGGAGAAGTGGTATCATTTCCCTATCGAAACTCAGGCAGTCAAGTTCGGGAGGGAGGTGCAGGGAAGTGACAGGAAGTGAGTGGAGAAGGTGATGCCAAAGGAAGCCCTAGAGAAGCAGCTGAGGGCCTTTCACAACAACGGTTTCCCTAGGGAAGACCCGCATGAAGAACTGGCCATGGCTCAAAGGGGAGACGCTCAGTAACAGAGCTCAGCGACAGCTGACTCAGCAGTCTTCTCCTAACTAGAGCTAAGTGTTATCTCCCTCAGGAAGTGTGGGGGAGTGAACATGTGGTAGGGCAGCAGTGACCCTGGAACTAGAAGATCTGGGGACTCATCTTTGTAGCCTTTGCCATTTATTAGCTACGTGACCTTAGGGAAGTCATTTCATATCTCTAAGTCTCAATTCACTTAGCTATTAAATAACATTAACACTACTCATCTCCTAGGGTTTTGTGAAGATCACAGGATACGTATGTAATGGTGTCCGATACAGAGCCTGATAATTCGTAGGTATTCAATAATTTTTTCTTGAGGAAGATTGGCCCTGAGCTAACATTTGTTGCCAATCTTCCTCTATTTTGTATGTTGGATGCCTCCACAGCTTGGCTTGATTAGTAGGGTGTAGGTCCATGCCTGGTATCTGAACCTGTGAACCCTGGGCTGCTGAAGAGGAACATGCAAACTTAATGAACATGCCATTGGGCGAGCCCCCTCTTTTTTTGTTTTTTTAAAGAAAGGGAAGGGATGGAAAAAGAAATACATTTACAGAGTTAATTTGGTCTTTCACATGCCTGGGCATCTACTCTGAGTAGGTTAACAATTAGGAGCAGGGTCTTCCATCTATGGAAAACATTAGACCAGAATTCCCTCAAGACCAGAATTCCCTCAAACATGAATAACTTTCAAAGTCAAAATTTGTTTCTTATCCAAACCATCCTATCTCTAATATTATCAACTCCCAGGAAAGTAGCTAAGTAGGGATAACAATCTAGGAGATTCCTCTAAAAACAATACCAGGTGGAGAATAGGGCCAGACATGCCCTGTGCAAGATGGATGGGTATGGATGGGTTATCCCTTTGTAACCCTTCATCCCTTTCTGGGAAACCCACATTTTTACCTACCTTACTGCCAGGTTTGGGACCCCTCTTCTTTGGGAATTTCAAAGGTTCAGCTGACTTGCATGGGGTAGAGATGGGATGGGGAATTAGGGGCTTGGGCGTCCGGCCCCGCTTCTTTCCTGGTTTACGCCCCCTCTGCCCTGGTTGATGCTCCAAGACAGTTTTGGTGCTGCTGTGGATGCTGGGCTTCTCAGTGTTCACATCAGATGCAGGATAGGGATTCTTTGGAATCATAACTGCAAGAAAAAGACTCATTCTATCACCCCCTCCTCCCACCTGCATTCCCATCCCAGTCAGAGGAAAAAAAAAAGACTTGCTACTTCCACTTGGGTAGTTTTACCCCAAGAAGTTAGATTTCCTGGCATCTGACCTAAATGTTAGAAAATCTCAGAGGAGAACTGAATTTAGATTGGCAAGAATGGGAAGTTTTAATTATCTCTGGTAAATGCAAAAAAAAAAAATTAAATTTTTTGTCCCAAGGCATCTAGCTAAAGCATATAAACAGAACCATACGTGCAGAGATGGAATAGCTCTTAGAAGCCTACGGTTCTCTTCTGCTAAGAATGAAGATCTGAGGCTCAGAAGAGGAAATAATGCCTCCCCAGGTTGCACAGTGAGTTGGGATAAGGACTTATTTTTTTTGCTGAGGAAGATCTGCCTTGAGCTGACATCTGTGCCAGTCTTCCTCTTTTTGTATGAGGGTCACCACCACGGCATGGCTGCTGACGAATGGTGTAGGTTTGTGCCCAGTAACTGAACCCAGGCTGCTGAAGCAGAGTGCACTGAACTCAACCACTAGGCCATAGGGCTGGCCCAGGACTTATGTTTTGAAAGTGGGCCCTGACAACCAAGTCAGGGATTTTCTATATCAACCTACTTATGGTTTTAGTGTGATTCTTGCAGTGAGGAGTAGTGAAACATATGGAAATATATACATCTGATAGCATCTCTCCTTACCTTAAAAATTTTTGTTCCATATTATCTTTAAGGTAAAGTCCAAATTCTTTATCCTGCTACCCAAGGCCTTTGTGACTTTGCCTCTGCCTTGCTCTCCAGTTATATCTGATGTCATTTCCTGACACCCACCCCCATGTTCTAGCCCCACTGTTTTATGAACACCAATTCATTCACATATGTTGAGTTTTCTATTCTTCTTGGTCAGATGTACATCATTACTCAGTTTCAACACCCAGCTCCAGGGCCACCTCCTTATCAAGGCCTTGTCGACTACACCCCAGCCAAGTCAGTACCCTGCCCCCACCAAAGCATTCTGCAGACATCCATGTTAGAGGACTTCCAATTTTACTCCACTCATTTATCTTCTCCTTAAATTAAGAATTCTTCAAGGTAAGGGATTTCTAATTCAATCCACAAATAGTTATCGAGCACTTACTACAGGTTCTGCACTGTTCTAAGCCCTGGGGTTACAATAGCAACCAAAACAGACACAGGTTCCACTCTCAGGGAGCTTACCTCCTAGTGAAGGAGACAGAAAATAGACAAATAAATATACAATATAATGTTAGGTAAGTGCTATGATTAAAACTAAAGCAAAGTAAGAAGATATGGGGTGGGGAAAGTCCTTTTTAAGGAGGTGACGTTTGCACAGAGCTCCCAAACGAAATAAAGGCAAAGCCTTATGAAGATCTGAGGACAGAACCTTCCAAGTAGAGGGTGTGTGACAAGTACAAAGACTCTGAGATGGGGACATGTTAGTGTGTTTGAGAAATGGAAAAGAGGTAAGAGTGGAGCTGAGTGAGCAAAGGGGAGTCTGGAGGGAGATTAGGGGAGTAGCCATAAGATCGTGTTGGACTTTCTAGACTGTGAAACTGAATCTGAACTGATTTTAAGGATAAGGGGAGGCCACTGAAGGGTTCTGAGCAGAGGAGAGACAGGATGTACTTAAAAGGAATGCCCTGGCTGCTCTGGGAGGGGAGGGGGCAAGAGTAGAGCTAGGGAGACAAGTTAAAAAACTAATTACAGTGGGCAGATAGAAGATAATGTTTCTGATGTTTCCAGGTAGGATGTGATAGATTATGGCAGTGCAATGTTGCTGATGCAACAACCAGAAAAAGTCAGATTAATTATTTTAAAAGACACTGCAGGGGCTGGCCCTGTGGCCGAATGGTTCAGTTTGCGCTCTCTGCTTCGGTGGCCAGAGGTTCACTGGTTTGAATCCTGGGTGTGGACCTAGCACTGCTCATCAGGCCATGCTGTGGCAGCGTCCCACAGAGAAGAGCTAGAATGACATACAACTATGTACTGGGGCTTTGGGGAGAAAAAAAGAAAAAAAGGAGGAAGATTGGAAACAGATATTAGCTCAGGGCCAATCTTCCTCACCAAAAAAGCATTAAAAAAAAAAAAAAGGCACTGCAGTGTTGTAGAAATCAAGAGGATTAGATGAACAGGAATTCCAGACCTGGGTAGGGAAAGCTTCCGAGGTAGCTGACACTGTTTTCCTTCCAGAGGGTATTTGCCAATTTGGGGCATGAACTGAGGATCAAGCTTGGCCTGTGCAGAGGAGCTCTACTGCAGAAAAGAGAAATCAGAGAGGCTGTTGTGACAGATTGGAACTTGAGGAGCTCCATGTGTGTGGCCAGTTTTCCCTGTGGGACATTTTCTGAGTTCTGAGCCTGCTCATTAGAACTGCAAAGCTAGGGTGAGAGCTTCTAAAAGGCAGAATCAAATCTTGCATAATCTTGTAATTTTAGCAGACAGGGTCACACTAGAAGGAGAGGTCTACCTCAAACATATAGCTGATCTTTTCTTCAATATATTTGCCATATTTTGAATTGTAAGGAGTGAGAGGTCAAAGAACTAAGCCCCAAACCTCTCAAGGGGCAGTATGTCAGGACTGAGGAGACAGCTACCTATCAAGTTCTCAATCAAAAGCCCAAGAAGACCCAGGTCCAAGGAACAGGGATAAACTCCAGGCTCAAGCTCAGTCCGTGAGGGGATCAGGCCCTGACCCTATGAGCCTAAGAGAGGAAAGGAAGAACTCTTTCTGATGGAAGATATCACACCTAAATAGTCCTTTTATATAAAATATCTAGTATATCATAAAAAAAATTAGGTATAAAAAAAGGCTGAACACTGTGATTGGTAAGCAAGAGAAAATATACACAATAGAATGAGACGCCCATATGCTCCAGATAATGGACCAAAAACTTAAAAATAACCATAATTAGTATGTTAAAGAAAGTAGAGGAAAAGATCAACAAAATGTAAGAAAAGATAAATAATACTCATGGAAAATTGGAATTCATACAAAAAATTAAATGGACATCCTAGAATAAAAAATATAATATTTGGGGGCAAGCCGGGGAGTGCAGTGGTTAAGTTCATGTGCTCCACTTTGGCAGCCTGGGGTTTGCAGGTTTGGATCCTGGGTATGGACCAAGCACTGCTCATCAAGCCACGCTGTGACAGCGTCCCATGTGAAAAACAGAGGAAGACTGGCAACAGATGTTAGCTCAGGGCCAATTTTCCTCTCACACACACACTACATATATATAAAATATTAGAAATTAAGAACTCACTGGATGGATTTAAGGGCAGACAGGATCCAGTAGAAAAAAGGATTAATAAACTTGAAGAAAAATAAATAGAAAACATCCAAAATGAAGCAAAAATATGAAGAAAACAGATTAGAGCATTAGACACAGGTGGATATAGTCAATAAATGCAAAATATGAGTAATTACAATCCCAGAGAGAGAAGAGAGAATGAGGCAAAATATTTGAAAACTAATGAAAGAAGGGCTCAGCAATCCACAAGTTGCAAAAATACAAAAAAATTAGCAAAACTATACCAAGACACATCACTGTTAAACTGCTAAAAATAAAAGACAGATAAAATATAAATGAAATGAAAGGCAGAGAAAAATTTTTGAAAGCAGTCAGAGAAAGCATTACTCTTCTAAGGAGCAACGATAGGACTCATGGCTGACTTTTTAACAGAAACCATGGAAGCCAGAAGCCACAGACTATCTTTAAAGGGCTGAAACATATAAACAGCCAACCAAGAATTCTACACTCAGTGAAAATAACCTTCAAAAATGAAGGTGAAATAATATTTTCAGACAAATCAAAGCTGAGAGAACTTGTCACCAACAGACCGAAACTACAGGAAATAAAAAGGAAGTTTTTCAGGCTGAAGCAAAGTAATCCCAGATGGAAGGACGAAACTGCAGAAAGGATGAAGAGCAGAAGAAAGGGCCAGTGTGTGAGCAGATACAAAACAATATCGACAATTGAGGACAAGAATTTGAAAAACGGCTTGTAGGGTTTATCATATATGTGTTAGTAAATTATACGAAAGCAACTGCACAAAGGATGGAAGAGGGGGATAAATGGAGCCAAACTTTGCTGAGAATTCTGCATTATTGGGGAAGCGGTTAGAGCACTTATTTAAGGTAGGCTTTAATAAACCAAGGAGGCACACAGGCAGAGGGTAGCTGATTAAAAAATTACACAAGAATGTATCACTAAAAGGTAAGGAGAGAGAAACAGAATAATAAAACATATACGATTAATCCGAAAGAAGGCAACACAGGAAGAATAAAGAAATGAGGAAGAACTCAAAGAGAAAGCAAAATGCAAAATGGTAGACTTAAATGAATAATTACATTAAACACAAATCAATTAAGTAAAACAATTAGTAGGGAAAAATTAAGATGCTGGACCCACAAAACCCCAGAACCCAATTATATCTGTTTATAAGAGGGCCCTGAAATATAAGAACACTTGAAATATAATGACACAGGAAGGTAAAAACATGGAAAAAATATACCCTGTACACATTAATCAAAAGAAAGCTCATGTGGTTATGTTAACATCAGACAAGGCAGTTTTTAAGGCAAAAAGTATGATTAGATTAAAAAAGGACGTTTAATCAAGATAAAGTAGTCAATTTGAAAGGAAGCTGCAATAACCTTAAATTTATATGTACCTAATAACACAAAATATATAAAGCAAAAGTTTAAAGAACTAAAAGGAGAAACAGACAAATCCACAATCATGAATTGGCAATTTTAACCTCTCTCTCACAAGAGGTAATTGATAGGTCAAGAAGCTGAAAAAATCAATTAGGATAGGAAACATGTGAATAACAAAATTAACCAATTAATAACATAACCAATTAACCAATCAATCTAATTGACACATACAGGATACTATACCCAATATATGTAGAATACACATTCTTTTCATATGCTTATGGGATATGCTGCGTGAGA